GCGCCGGTTTTTTGCGCTCACTAGGACCCCGATATTAACGGAATTTAAGTACGCGACGCGCTACTAGTTGCTCGACGCGCGGTCGCGGAACGACTGACTCCCCACTGAAAATGGCAGGGCGTTGGAGACGGCACTCGAGTGGGGGGGGGTCCCCCGGCGATACTCCCCGCATGCGCACAGAGCACCCCGCATGCGCACAGAAGACCGTTCAAGGGGGGGGTCGCCAGGCGATACTCCCCGCATACGCACAGAGCACCCCGCATGCGCTCAGAAGACCGCTCAAGTGGGGGGTCGCCAGGCGATACTCCGTGCATACGCCATACGCACGCACACCGTCCGTGCGCACAGAACACCGCGGGCAGTCTCAATTTGACGAGATACGATAATTGCGAAAATTCTTAACCTAATAAATAATTCTCTCTTAAAAAAAACAGTGCAATCACGTAAAATCCCCATAGGTGCAATTTTCTGAATCAATACAAAAAATTGCAATTATCTCGTTTCCTATGCATCGGAGCGGGAAAATAATGATCCCCTGTGATATTTTCATCTGGAGGTGCTATTGCAATATTATCTCGCATTTACAGAAATATCTGGAACGTTTATTAAATGTTTTAACATTTTTCATCTAAGTGACAAGATATAAAGGACAAAAAATGTGAAAAATCGATGTAAACGAGTCCATGAGCTCGTTTTTCATTCTTATAAACTTATAAGTTTTTCCGCATTTAACTCAAATCCTTAAAATTTTTAACTTTTCTCGTGCCTCATAAATGTAATAAAAAAAGTTAATTTCCACGTTATAATCTATGAAAAGAAAAATTGCACGTTGAAAGAAAAAATCAGAAAAAATAAATGAGAACGAAATTAAAACCATATAATTTCCATATTTTCCTTCAAATACCTTGATGAAGTGTCAAACTGTCAACAGTGAAGAACTTCATCATTCCTTGAGGGGAAAAACATCGTTTAAACTTAAAGAAAATAGAGCAGATCCTGTAGTCCAGGATCAGGAGGTGTATGTATGGACTGGGCCACCAGGAAGACGAGCTTGTGGGCATATTGGAGAGGTGCAGGGCCTCGAACAGTGCTGCTGCAGTTGAAATAAATATGGGTCAATTTATACGTGAGTATCTGAATCCTCTCGAAGGACAGGCGAATAGAATCAAAGACGACGTTGTAGTAAGCGGGCATGACACTCTCCTCTTTGAAGAACTGAGACACCAGGAAAAAGTCCTTCCGCAATGGCTGAGTGATGACATCATCGATGACCGTACCCAGTGGTGGATTCTCTCTCCCGTGGAAGAGTCTCGTGTTGGAGTGCGTTGAAACCAAAACGTAAGCGAGACTCACATCGCCACCGTAGATCCTCCTCAGGGACTTGTGGACACGAGACACTTCGTGATCGGTTATGTTCCCAATTTGTTTATCTGGAACGCCATCTCGGTACAGGAGAATTCGAGAGGGTAGACAACCATTGTTGACTTCACGAAACTTCTCCAGGGCTTTCGTCAGGCTTGCAATTATATTCACTGTCAGCTGGTCGTTTCTCTCGTGGGATGATACCGTTGAGAAATAACGGGTCAGGCCCTTGTCCAAAGTCGCTACTACTGCAGCAAAACTCCTATTAGACTCTTCATTATCGTGAGCAATGCTGACCCCAACAACCATTAATCCACTGAGTGGTATGTGAATGCTCCAAGGTACACCTCCAATTTTGCAGCTGAGCTGAATAGCAACTTTGGTTGCTATTTCATTCAAATCCTCTGATGTGAAGCACTTGTCAGTGATGACTTGACAGGGCACAGCATGCTCCGTGTAGCACTTTCTCATCACTCGTGTGAAGATCTCAGGTCGACGACCCTGAACCACAACCATCAGCAACTGTGGATTCAGGTTGATTATCGATTTCTCCATGTGTGAACTGTAGCACTCGGGTGTAGACTCCTCTAGTTCTACATAGTGAGGCTCTGACAGATGAAAATTCCGAGTGGCTTGCATCATTCGGGCAACGAAATTTTTAGCCTCGAAGCCGTAAGCCTCTGGTGTCACAAGAACCCAATTCTCCAGTTTAACGGTATGAAAAAGATTCTTCTCCTTGAAGGCCTGCGTCCATTCACCCTCGCTGTTGACGTCCACTTGGCAGTCGTCCCCGAAGATCAACTTCTCCTGTGGGAGAACCTTGCCGATAACATCGACGAGCTTTGAATCCAATTTCATGTTGGAACTCTGTAGCTCTTCTTTGAGAGTGGAACTACTCAGCAGACGATTATTGAACGCCAGGAGTTTTTGAATACGACTCTCAGGAGACACCGTTGTGTGGGCTGACAGCAGGTCCTTGACGATTGCATCGTTTTTCAAAGCCCCTGTCAATCCTGCAATTGTGCAGAGCTCAGGGACTAGATAAATTTTTTCCGCAGGCTCTCTACGATTTCTTGCCCGGTAATTTGTAATCAAAAGGGGCTGCGAGCTTCGATAAATGCTGATGTTATGATGAATCTTGTAGAACTCCTTGTACGTCATACCCAATTCGCCTTCAGCAATTCTGATGTTTGAGAGTGGAGACAAGGAAAAGTCAACGCCATCGATACGATGAATCTTGTTCTCGTATTCTGTCCAGACATGCAGTCCAGTCACTTCAGCAGTGAATGCCTCCTGATAATCAGTCCCAGAAGTCTCGATCACCTGCTCCAGAAGATCAGAGACGGAGAGTTGTGGCATGACTTTGTGGGAAATGTCCACACACATCATGACTCCATCGTCGTAATGCTGAACAGCGGTCTGATATCCTGTCCACACCTCCAGGGCGTATTCCTCGATGTTGATTTTGGCATCTGGTGTGTTGATGTCGTAGAAATTTCTGCCAACCATTTGGAAATTCAAGGACTCCAGGGCTCTTTTCGCAAGGAGATTGTACAGCTGGAGATAACGATGATCTCCAGGCTTGATGTCTCCCAAGTACTCGACGATTATCTCGTGATCGTCACCTGGAGGAAATTCCAGGGGAGGTTTGTGGGTGCTCAAGAGTACGGGTCCATCCAGAATAAAAGATCCGATAACATTGCGGTGTTGATCGATGAGAGCCTTCTGACGCTCGTAATTGTCTTCCTCAGGCTCGAATTTCAATCGATATCGATGCAAGCCCCAGTTTGGGTCACAGAGAATCTTGAAGTAATTCGCTTTTAACTGCACAAAATTCTCTGCGAAATCATTCCAATTAATATCTAATAATGATTTTGATAAAACATCTATTAAATCAATCTCACCTTTCACATCCTCAGGATTACTCTCCATCTTCTGTCAATCGTTGATTACTAACGATAAAAATACGAAAGATTTCAATATTTACCTTGATATTACGAAAATCGAGGATGAGATTTATTTATAAAACTGACAATAAAAAATTGTTGGAAAATAATATTTCCTAATTTTACTATTAATTATCGCAAAAAATTCATTGAAATTTAATTATGATGACTGAGTTGGGGATATTATGTTTTACACATGCTGACGGAGAGGATGACGTCAGATTCGGTTTCAGATACCGGAGAACAGAAAGAACGCGAGACTGGGAGTAAAAAAATGTAAACAACTTATTTCTCTCCTGAGCTGTTTCCCGTCAAGCCGAAGACACACTACCAATTCCGTAAATAATCTCCTTACATCAACAAATGGATCATAATTTTATGAGCTCCCGAGAAATCCAACATTTCGATGAATCAATCGATCCGAGAAAATGAATATGAACATTTGAACAGAAAATTCGTTAATTAGCCCCTTGAGAGGTGTAAATAGTCCCCTCGGGGTTTAAATCAATGATAATTAGTAAAATTTAATAATCCAACAATCGAAATCGTTCTAATAATTAGAGATCGTAAACAAAAGAAGAGAAGAGATCGAAACAGAAGAGAACAAAGAGATCGTGACTTTGTCACGAAAATCCGATCGAATTCCCCGCATTGGGATGATTAATATTTTTATTAATTAATATTTAGGGAGGAGGATAATTACTCACATGCGAGAATCCTTTGAACTTCTAAATATTCAACGATTTTTTAGAGCAAACGCGGCGTAAATTTTCGCTTATCCGTTTTTATTTATTAGGAATCACTCATGTACAAGTCGTGCCAACCGCCTTAAGAGGAAATGAAAAATAAAAGGGGCGCTGCCTCCTTCTGCCGCGGAATTTTCAACTGGTGGTCATCTCTCACTGCTGACTGCTCCCAGGGTAAATAGCCCTTTCCGATAAAAACGCCAGAAGAGGTGCGTTATATCGCCCTGGATTCCACCGAAAATCGTCTTTAATCTTGTCCATCCTCACAACAAGAGGCAAAGTAAGGATTATATCGGATTCTTCATTAATTACTCCAATTATATGGCGCGTATTTTTTGTGGTTGATGTGAAATTTTGGCATTGGCGGCTGTCAAATCTCCGAGCTCGTCTAACCTGCCAAATCGTGTGATTGTCAATTTCGGGGCAATTTACAATTAAATTGATGATGCGTTCGCTTGATATTTGTTGTTGTTCATTGTTCATTGGTTTATCCAGTAATTATTGGGGATCGGGGGAGTGTTGGGGGAGAATCGAAGGCTTTCGACAGGATCCAAACACATGAGTTAACCTAAAAGTGATGGTAGTGCAGAATTGAATGTAGTGTTAATTTGAATTTGATTTCCTGCAGATGTTGATGCCCAAGAAGAATCGAGTTGCTATTTATGAATACCTCTTCAAGGAGGGAGTCATGGTGGCAAAGAAGGATTTCCATGCACCCAAACACCCAGAGCTGGAGACCATTCCGAATCTCCAGGTCATCAAGGCTATGCAGGTGATTTTTCAGGGTTTATCTTCATTCCTGTTAAAACGAATCTGCAGTGAAGACAAATTTTTTTTTCTCCTCAGTCACTCAAATCGAGGGGCTACGTGAAGGAGCAATTTGCGTGGCGTCATTATTACTGGTATCTGACGAACGAGGGTATCGAGTACCTTCGCGGATACCTCCACCTGCCACCTGAGATTGTACCATCAACCCTGAAGAGACAGCCAAGACCTGAGACAGCGAGGCCTAGGCCGGCTGCTGGAGGTAAGAGCGAATCCAGACCGACTGAGGATCGCGCTGGATATAGACGTGGTCCAGGTGGTCCACCAGCTCCAGGTGACAAGAAGGCTGACATCGGTCCTGGCACTGGGGATCTTGAATTCCGCGGTGGATTCGGTCGTGGCAAAGCTCCACAGTAATTTCTATTCGATTTTTGTCATGTAAAATAAATGGAAAATTAAAAAAAAAAGAAAATCGAATAACGATGGCTTAGACATTTCTTTACCGAATCCTGGGAATTTTTATTGAGAAGAATATTGTTGGGGATTGGGGTCTAGGGTAAGATATTTTTTTGTGAAAATATCTCAGGAAGAATTTTCGTTGCAATTCGATCAAATAAAATAATAGAGAAAATTATTTCTGAGTCATTTCCACGAATTCAGCTGTTCAATTCTCTCAACCAATTGCAATCCTGATTTTTCGGAGCAGAGTCCTGAGGCGCATGCGTCGGATCGATTTGAAAGTCCCCGGTGAAATTAAAATATCAAAATACCGCTCCTAACCAAGAAAATCCCCAGGTGAGTCTGAAAATTCTCATAAAAAATTACTCCACCCCTGTAAATTAATAAAAAAAAATTAGACGAGACATTATAATTCAATTAATTCACATTACATTTCTTAAGTCGATTTTTCAATTTTTACAAATTTCTCTTGAAAATTCCATTGCGTTTCTCCAGAGCCAAGAGAAGTAAAAAAATTCAGTAGAACTCGATGCAGGAGGAGAAATGCAGTCGCTGGGTGAGAACACCTTGGCAGCCCTCGCCCAGTCCGACGATTTCCTCTCCCTGCAGACCTGGAGGGAGCCCCTCAAGGAGTCCCGCCCTAATATATCCCCAAAAACGAAGGATAATACGTCCTTGGAGGCTTATTTCAACGAGAGTCTAGTTCTTTCACGGTCACGATACAGTCAAGAGACCCAGAAACAGTACCTGACGCCCCCCAGGTTGTCAAAGCGAAAAAAAACCACGAGAAATGCCTCTCCACCCCTGGAGACCGTCGACCCTATCGCTCCCCCATTACCCTCAGACAATCGTCAATCTTCAAAAGAACCAGACCAACCCCCTCAGCCCTCCTCATCCTCACGACAAGATCCACCCAAAAACCATAAAACCTTGAAAAAAGTTTTGAAGTACTCAACAATTGCCACCTCCCCGTTGTGGTCGCCCCCCAGCCTCACAAAATCCTTAGAATCCTTAGAATCCTCAGAATGCTCTTCATTCAAATGTCAGAATCCTCTCGCATCCCTCCAGGACCCCTCACCATCCTCAAGATCAGACTTGAACCCTCAGTCACCTGTTCCCTCCCTGGTATCCACCCAAGATCGTGTGAAGCTCTCCTCCTGGGGTCTACCTCCCCCAATCCTGTCAAAATACCACTCTCGAGGACTCCACTCGATGTTCCCCTGGCAGGTGGACTGTCTCTCCATCCCCCACCTCCTCATCTCCTCGAGGAATCTCGTCTACTCAGCACCAACATCCGCTGGCAAAACTCTCGTCTCCGAGATACTCGTGATAAAGACAGTAATCGAACGTCAAAAGAAAGTAATCTTCATCCTTCCGTTCGTCTCGGTCGTCCGGGAGAAGATGTACTACTTCCAGGATTTATTATCGGACTCTGGAGTGCGAGTGGAGGGTTTTATGGGAGGAGTTCAGCCCCCAGGTGGAATTACTTCAGCTGACGTGGCAATAGCAACAATTGAAAAAGCAAATTCCCTAATTAATCAAATGATGGAAGCAGGAGAACTGGAGAACCTGGGGGCAGTTGTAATCGACGAGCTGCACCTGTTAGGGGATCCTTTCAGGGGATACCTCCTGGAGCTGCTCCTGACGAAAATAAAATACATGACATTAAAAGTCGAGAGTGTAAAAATCCAGCTGATAGGAATGTCAGCGACTCTACCTAATCTCGATGTTCTCGCCAAGTGGCTCGACGCAGAGCTCTTCAGGACGGATTTTCGACCAGTCCCCCTGCAAGAGCTCTGCAAGATCGGCGCAACGATCTACGACGATCACCTGACACCCCAAAAAACCCTTGCTACACGTCCAGACCTCCCCCAGGATCCCGACAACATCCTCAGCCTATGCCTGGAGACACTGGAAGACGGCCATAGCGTCCTGATCTTCTGTCCCACGAAGAACTGGTGCGAGACCCTAGCCCAGCAAATCGCTAAGTCCTTCTGTCAACTGGGGAGAACAGAGACTCCAGCAGGTGAAAGTCTACGCTGTCAGTTGAACAGGGAAATGATAATGGACACCCTGGAGCAACTGAAACGTTCACCCTCGGGTCTCGATGACGTCCTGAGATCGACAGTGTCTTTTGGGGTGGCGTATCATCACGCAGGACTGACGATGGACGAGAGGGATATCATCGAGGGGGCATTTCGCACTGGGGCCCTCAGAGTCCTGACAGCCACTTCAACACTCAGCAGTGGAGTTAATCTCCCAGCGCGACGAGTCATCATCAGGACGATTATGTTTCATGGGCGACCCATCGACACCCTCACGTACAAACAAATGATCGGTCGAGCTGGGAGAATGGGAAAGGACACCGCAGGTGAGAGTATCCTCATCTGCAAACCGACAGAGCGGACAGCAGTGAAAAATCTATTGAAATCCACCCTGCAGCCCATTGAGTCCTGCCTGCAGAGCTCAGGACCCCTCATCAGAAGTCTCCTGGAGGCAGTGGCTTCAGAGGTCGCTTACACCCTCGACGACATCCTCCTGTACACCAGCTGCACATTGTTGAGCTCAACAAGACTCCAGGAGGAAGTGGAGACCTCCACAAAATCCGCTGTGGATTTTCTCGTGGATAACGAACTGCTGCTCCCCCAGGTCTCTGAATCCGGGGAGAGAAGGTGGGTGGCCACGCAACTGGGGAAGGCATGTCTGGCTGCCTCAGTACCACCAAAGGATGGCCTCTTCCTGTTCCAGGAGCTGGAGAAAGCCAGGAAGTGCTTTGTCCTCGATACGGAGCTCCACGTCATTTATCTCGTCACACCCTTCAGCTCCAGCAGTTTAATTGGTCAGGTCGACTGGTCCATCTTCCTGAATATTTGGAGGGGAATATCAGAGAGTGACAGGAGAGTTGGACAACTCGTGGGTGTCAGTGAGAATTTCCTCTCGAGAGCAACAACGGGAAATGTGAAGCAGGGAAAAATTCTGGATATTCATAAAAGATTTTACACAGCTTTAGCTCTTCACGATCTCGTCAGGGAGGTTCCACTGGGTGTCGTTTGCAGGAAGTACTCCTGCTGTCGAGGTGTTATCCAAAGTCTTCAGCAGACAGCAGCGACCTTCGCAGGAATGGTCACACAATTTTGTAAGAAACTCGGTTGGAGCTGCGTTGAGCTCCTGGTGTCGCAGTTCCAGGCGAGGCTGCAGTTTGGAGTGTCCAGGGAATTACTGGATCTTCTGAGGCTTCCGACGTTGAATGGACTGAGAGCGAGGAGCCTCTTCAGGGAGGGAATCACCACTGTCGCAGAGTTGGCTGTTGCTGATGAGATGGATGTGGAGAGGGCACTACATAAGGCACTGCCTTTTGAGAGTGAAAAGGATTCCGGGGAGGGGGAGATCGACGCCGAGAGGAGGAAGCAGATGAGGACAATTTTTGTGACGGGGCGGGACGGCTTGACACCTCGTGAAGCTGCTGGTCTCATCGTCAAAGAGGCCAGGGCAATGGTGCAGAATGAATTGGGGGTCGACGGCGTTCACTGGGAGAAGAAAAACTCCAGGAGTGTTGTCCAGGGGTCTCTTTCCACGGTTGATGATGGGGATGTCGTCCTGAGGATGGAGTCTGGAGTTGAAAACTTGAATTCAGTGAGTGCCAGGAATACTCAGAGTGAGAGGAAAATTCCAGAGGTTTCAGATTGTCTCTCGAGATCTTCGAGAGTTCATGGAAAGAGTTCTGAGGGTTCTGGGATGACTTCATCGATGAGAGACGTCGAAAGTCATGAGAAAATTGGGCCAGTGCCTGGAGAAACAGCTGGAGAAATAGCTCTACTACCAGTAAAAAACCTTGAGTGCACTTCAAAACCTGAAGAGGCTTCAAAGACTCCGATGAGTTTGTTGAGGACTTCATTAGCTAAATCCTCAACCTCCAGGAGTCCAAGCCTCTTCGGGGATAGTCTGGGTGTGGACACACAAGAGTACAATGTCCTGGAGCAAAACGTCATAGACCTCGATGACTCAGTCTTCTCAGATACTGAGATATCAGTCTTCAAGACTTCAGGGACGTCGAAAAATCGAAACTCCAGTAAATCGAAACCCAGGGAAAATTCTGTGGAATTTGTGAGACCAGAGGCACCTTCTCGTCCCGCCTCAGTAGCTGATGAGAACCGGAGTAAATCTTTAGTGTGGGACGAGGATTCCTGGAATAACACGAATGGGATTATCGAGACTGTGAAGAAGCTCCGGACACCACCGCAGCCCCAGAAGCCGAGTAAAATCATTCCCAAGGAAAAATCCACCCTGGGAAAAATCAGGAAGACGTCGAAGAGAAAGTTGAGTAGTCCAGGAGTAGAGAAATCTCCGATCGTCAATGTGATATCTTATAACAGTCCTGGAGGGCTCTCTACAGGGTCTAATAAATCCGAAGAGGACGTAATCGTGGCTTCCCAGAATGCAGACAGAACTACGAGCATGAGGACGAGGACGAGGATGAAATTGGAGTCCATCAGGATCAGAACTCAGGGAACAGCCTTGAAGACCCAGGCGACGATCCCCAGGTTGATGCGTCAACAGATTTCTAATTCCGAGACTTTTGTCTGCGACGACTGCAGCGTTGAAAGTGTTGTCGTCAATTCTGATGAGGAAACACCGTTGAAGAGGAATAATCCCTCCAGAACAAAAATCGCTCTGAAAACTCAGAAGGGCTCCCAGGAGAAGATGGGGTTGAGGGCCCTGGAGGTCATTGACGTTACAGAGACACGAATAACCGATCAGAGAATCACAAAGACAAAATCCTATGAGCCATCAAAACCAAAATTTAAAAAAAATATAAATCTTCAACTTGAGGAGGAAAGAGTTCCCCAGGAGAGAGTGAAAAAACCGGACTTCAAGATCCTCAAAATTATTAACATTACGGAGAAGGAAAAATTCACGGAATTCAAGGATAAATTATCAACGAAAACCGAAATATCTCTGGCATTAGCTTGCGAGCCGTACCTGAAGGACACAATTACTATTGGTACAAAAATAATCGGTGCCTCGACCCTCCAGGAGTCGGGGAGAAAAACCAGGAGAATAGAGACATGCGTTCACAATGACAGACGTCTCTGCGGGGTCGCAATGTCTTGGGGGGATTCTGTGTATTTTCTTTCTTTCGAGAACTCCGACGTGAACAGGATATCCATGAAGGAGCGAATGGCATTTCTGACGGAACTGTTGTCCTCCAGGACAGTCATCAGGTGCTTCTCCACGAAGGAGACGTACAAAACTTTGTTCAGATGCTGCAGTATTAGCCCCTCCAGTGGATTCCTGGACCCCCAGGTGGCTGATTGGTTGCTTCAGTCGGATTCCCCGGAGAAAACCTTCATCAATATGGTCCAGGAACACCTGCCAGAAGGCCTGGGTCTCCTCCAGCGACTGGGCCCCTTGTCAGGACCATCCGGGCCGGGTTTAAACCTCCGGAGCTCGACTTCCAGTGATCTCAGGGCCTCCACAGAGGCGCTACTGACATTCTGGATGCTCCAGGCCCTCTCGAAGAAGCTGGAGAAGATTTCCAAGAGGTTACTAAAGACATTTGAAGACGTGGAGATGGGGACTGTGGTCTTGCTCGCCAGGATGGAGCTCACAGGTCTTGGAATTAATCTTGAGGCCCTCCAGAGGCTATCGTCAGTCGTTCAAGATCAACTCTCGAATATTGAGGCGAGGGCTTATTCACTGGCTGGAAGGAAATTCAACTTCTCCTCGTCGAAGAGTGTCGCTGGAGCCTTGGGGATGGATACCACGAAAAAGGTCTGCACTAACAAGGCAACGCTGGAGGCCTCCAACCACCCGATAGCCAAACTCGTGGTAAACTGGAGAAAACTCTCATCAACGCACATGAAGATGATTTATCCTCTGCTGACCCTCGCAGGAAAATCCTCGAGGATCCACGGTACGTGTGTCACTCACACAGCAACTGGAAGGGTCTCCATGCATGAGCCTAATCTCCAGAATGTTCCCAGGGATTTTCAATCGATAGACAACGACTCCATCATCAGTGTCCGGATGGCTTTTGTGCCAGGAACGGGAAATGTCATTGTCTCAGCTGATTACTGCCAATTAGAATTAAGAATTTTGGCGCACTTCTCCGAGGAAGAGAGACTCCTGGAGGCGCTGAGAAGACCAGGCGATGTCTTCAGAAATATCGCAGCTAAATGGTACAACAAGGACGAGGAGGGAATTGATGATGGTATGAGACAGAGAACTAAACAGTTGTGCTATGGGATGATTTATGGAATGGGCACCAGGAGTTTGGCTGAGACTCTGCAGGTGGACGAGGCAGAGGCTCGAGTCTTCATGGACACCTTCATGAGGAGTTATCCAGGTGTCAAGGCCTGGTTGGCTGATGTTGTGGAAGAAGCGAGGAAACAGGGATTCGTGGAGACCCTGATGGGGAGGAGAAGATGTCTCCCGGGGTTGAGGAGTGAAATACCTGGGGAGAGGGGACAGGCCGAGAGGCAGGCTGTCAATACCAAGGTCCAGGGATCTGCTGCGGATCTCGCCAAGATGGCGATGCTTGATGTCGATAGGAGGATGACAAGGCACTTTCAGGGGGCACTTGTTATGCCAGAGGTACCTGCTGGAAGAAAGCTCAGGAGCAACAGGGATAGCGGACTCAGGGGGGGATTCCTGGTGCTCCAGCTGCATGATGAACTCATTTATGAGGTGAATCAGAGGGACCTGGGGGATGTCGTCGGCATCATCAGGGAGGGAATGGAGGGCGTCGTCGGGGATGGTATCAAGGTGCCATTGCCTGTCAGGGTCAAGGTCGGCACCTCCTGGGGAAATCTTGAAGAGTATCAAACTCACTAGGTTCTTTATTTAATCAATTGTTGTATTTTATGTTTAGGGAAATGAAGTTCATGCGTTTTGTCAAAATTTTTCAAATTTACATTTTTTGTGAGTTTTTTAATTGTTTATGATTGAGTGTAAATAGTGAAATATTTTAGGCGTTTTTTGCCGTCGAATTTTTACAGAAGTTTTAATGATCTTGTGTGATTAAAAGAAATTATTGATAGGGAGAAATCTCCGTTCGTTTTTGAGATCAGATTTTGTATAATAGTCCCGATTTTAAAAGAAATAGAATCATTCATTTTTTTTACGCATTAGAGATGAATTATTTAATATTAAGCGAGTGCCCATCGAACAACTGAAATGTATTTATTTGTGGATATGAAGATATTAACGACTGATTAGAAGAACTGAGAGCGTAATCATGTAATTTTGATAAATGAAATAAAATCATATTTTTACAATTCAAATTGTGAGATTTTATTTTCTGAAAGATTCCTCTCTCTTCTCTGAATTCTCTCCCCAAAGGACAACGGGACCATCAATAAAAACACAAATGCAAAAATTGATAATGTATATATGTACAACATACTTGTCTTCTTTAATGTACACACGTGGTACAACATTACAACATTGAAACAATAATGAATCAACCAAAGATAAAGTACCTCCTCTATCGTCAAAAAAGAATTACGACGAATTACGATAGAAATAAAGAGATAAAAACGACAATTAAAAAAATAAAGAAACATTGCTTGTTTTTTTTTGTTTTGTTTTGTTTTTTTTTTTTCATTAAAAAGTACCTCAATACATAACTTCATTAAGGTATACACGTGTTGTAAAGATCATGTAGTATTCGCATTTTTTTCGTTATTACCTTTTGCTTTTCATTTACCATTAATTAATTATCCTATCTTTATTCTTCAATCATAGTAAGAATCTTATCAATTTGTTTTCCTTATCGCATAATCGAAATTCTCCTTGAAATCTTAATCCTCTCAATATCTATTATTATTCTGTTTAATTTTCAATATTATTTACTCGCATTGGCCCTATTATAAAATAGAAGTGATATACATATTTACATTATGTACAGTATTACCTTCATTACCGCATCAATTAATTACGAATACACATTTTTGTTATTCCCAAGAATTCTTCCATTTTTCACGTCATTCTCCCCCATTTTTTTCCCCATTTTTCCACCCAATTGAACTAATAATTAACACAAATTGCACGTTTGGACATCGATGCTGGTTTCTCAGATGCTGGGATCAATAAAACCAATTAATTTCAATCGATTAATTGCCTGGCTGAGATTCCTCTCATCAACCCGCAGGTAAAATTAAAAAACCAGCGAATTCTACTTCTAAATCTCTCGTGGGAAATACCAATTGCATTATCATAATATTATGCTCACACTGGTGATAATTCAGTAGAGAAAATATTCATCACGATTAACCACAACCCTTAATTAATCATCCATTGTCCATTAATAATAATCAAAAAAATCATTCTCAATTATTTCGATAACCGAAAAGCCTTAAAATATCATTTGAATATTTAATAATCCGAGACGACGAAACTTTCCCAGAAAATATGCAGAATAATTTTTAAAAAGATTTACCTCCCCCGAGCCCCATAATTGAATGAAAAAAATTCAATATCGATCGGAATATGTTGTATAATCTCTCTACTGAATTTATTATCCATTCTCTAAATGTCTCGGGCAGTCCAATGTGTCTCATACTGCTCCCCTCAGAAATTCTCCCTTCAAATGAACAAGAGACAATAAAAATCTCACCCCCAGGACAATTGGCATGACTCGTTTATTGTTTTGGTGCAGCTTCGATGAAATTCATTTGTGTCTAACTATCTAGTAATAATTCGGAATATGAATGAACAATTGGACCCATAATAATTTTCCAGTCCAACCATATTCACGACTCAACAGATCCATCTCCCATCAATCCTAGACTTAATGATTAATTAATGAATTATTTAATGATGAAAAAAATGGAAAAACAGGGGATTACAATTGATTATGGATGCAACTGATGAGTTCAACGGTTAAAAGAGTGTGGATAAAATAATATTAATGACCCCAATCATCTCGCCATTGACATTTCATTGATTGAGGATTTAATTGATAATTTCTTGCAGAGAGCAGTACGAAGAACCAACATCGATCAGTCTTAATATTGGAATTGATTATACCAATAGTTGATCACCTTATGCATTGCAAAATATATAAATATAGAAGAATAACAACTAAGGTAATAGCGATTGGCTATTATTCTAATTGTATTGTTTTTTTTTTGTTTATATTAGCAGTGTTTAGTTCTGGGGAAAATTGGTAGAACGTTTTAGTTTGAATTATCTCGAGTAATACTGGATTTAGAAGAAAACCACAGAGGACTCATCGCTGAGAATTGAATTGTCGAAAAGAAAATGTTCTCTCGATTTTTTATTGTAAACTTCCCTGTTGAGATAATTCCAGATTCACTGAGATGAGAAATTGACTCGTTCTGGTACGTTTTACCCCTTTCGTTCTCAATTCATCCTCCATTTTTCCCCTCACTTCGATAACTAGTCGAATAGTTTTTTTATCTGTCATCACTGTAACATTGTCCCACACTCATTACACTTGAACACCGATTGACAATAACAATTGTCATTACCACAATGTTTTCTTATGAATTTGTAAAACAGTAAAAAAAAATATCCCACTTACAACGACTGACACGTAAAGGACCTCATTAATATTATTTAATAATTACTCTTCCCTTCTATATTATTGATTAATTATCTTTATGTATTAAATTATTTTACTATTAGTTGGCAAATGTTTTCTCATGTTTTCTTAACATTACTTCGTTTTTATTCACTTTTTTTAATCTTCTCTGTGTTTCGTCAACACAAATTTCAAGGTTCTTCAATCTCCGATCAACAATTAGATTTTTTTTGTTTATTTGTTGACTCCTGGATATTATTTATTAATTATTAATCAGTATTCTTAAGTAGTTAGGGTCCCAAGTCACTGGATCTTTACCACGACAGAATCTTTCACTCGTTTTCTGTTTATCAAATTACTTTAATTAATTTATCTAAGTCACGATCGACGGACGATTTTATTCATCAAGCATCGAGTCAACAAAATTTCACTAATCAAAAACAACATCGATTCAATTGTGAAAAGGTTCAATGAGAAACTACGAGAGTTCAATAGAGAAATGGGAATTGAATAGGTTAAAAATTTTCATCGATATCTCGAAAATTTGATTTATCGAAAAATGTCACTATTTTTTCTCTACAAAATGTCTCGACATTCTTCGATAAATTCCCCATCTCCAAAATACATTCCCAAAAAATTTCTTGAACCATTTCCCGAACATGTGCCTTTCCCATTCATCCGAGAATTCCCAGACAAGTATCTCAACTAAATCGAGAAACAATTAAACAATTCATTTCAAATAATAATTGCAAACCTCCAGAGTTTGCTCTAATGGTCATCACTTCAGTGGTGGAGTGGTAAAACGACCTACGTTAACAATTTTTTTTATTAATAACTTTCGATGAATGCTTGCAAAAAATATAAACGACGAAAAAGTCATACGAAAAATATAAGACTTGCTGTAAACACTTTAAAAATTTCAAATCAATTGAAAATAATGACGTTTTCCACTCCCCACGTCAATTAATCACTGACTCAAGCCACTTGCCTCGATTATTCCTAAAACCGATACTTCAGAGTCCCTCGATCAAAACCTCCAGTGCATTCTTCCACAAGGCGTTCCCACCCCCCGATACGTCTCTAAAAAATAGTTCTCCCTGTCATTAAAAAAAAACATCTGCATTACCGAAAAGACCTATTACCGAGGGAAACATTTCAAAACCGAAGAGATAACAAATAATAAATCAACTAACCCAAAAACTCACCCCTCAGCTAAATTGATCGTCCCTCCACCCCCTCGTTACTGAATTTTTCCAACTACTTTTCTAAAATAAACAAATACATTGCAGAGTCTTTGTGTTCTTAGTATAAAAACGGCAATGACTAAAACTTTCTAGTAGTTGCAAGATTTTCCCTCAGTGTCAATTCCCTTGCCCCTCGCCCTTCAATTCTCAGTATTAACGGGTTCCCTAGCATGATGAATTCTGACATGTTTATTATGATTGCTCTTCGTACTACTGCTCTTGCCACAAATATGACAAGTATAAGGTCTCGCCCCACTGTGCACCCTCAAATGCTCCTTGAGATAATAAGACCTGTGAAAAGTCTTATTGCAAACATCACAAGTGTACTGTTTATTCTCCTCATGCTCCTTAACGTGTCTTAAACAATTATACTTCCTAATAAACTGTGCCCCACAGTAATTACAAGTATACGGCCTAACATTTCTATGTGAATTCATATGAGCAATAAAATCACTGTGTCTGTAGAAAGCAGCGCTGCACTGATTACACTTAAACGGTTTAGTACTTCTAGCAGCATGAGTCCACTTGTGCAATTGCAAGTTCCACTTTGTGCTGAATGCCTTGGAGCATACCTGGCACTCATAGGGCCTCTCCCCATTGTGAACCCTCATGTGAACTGACAAAGATGATCTTAGATAAATGCACTTACATATTGGACACTCGACATTCTCATTCTCCCTCTGGGCATCTGGTACAAATCTCCTGTTGTGGGCTCTCCTCATGTGCCTGGTGAGACTAGCCATGTGAATGAATCTCTCGTTGCAGTATGTGCAGGCCTTGGGTTTCTCGTCGTGTGTCTCCTTGTGCCAGGCGAGCTTCTTCTTGGTGTGAAATACCTCGCCACAGTGGCATATGTAATCCTTCAGCTTTTTCTTTACATTCAAGTGATGGCGATTCTTGTGCTGCGTCAGGTTGGAGTATCTCCTGAATGTTTCATTGCACAGGTTGCATTTTACTGGTGCATTACCAGTGTGTCCATTCATGTGCTCGTCGAGCTTCTGCTTTGTGAGAAAAGCCTTGTCGCACACTGTGCAGGGGAAGGGTTTTATTCCCAGGTGACGTTTCATGTGGAGTTTGAAATTTTGTTTTCTATAAAAGTATTTGCCACACTGGGGGCACTCCAGGGGATGAATTTTCAAGTGAGTATTGAATTGGACGACTGATGGGAACTCCTCGTTGCAAATTTGACACTTTGATATGTCGTGGAGGCGTCTTGCTACTTCTGTACTGTGAACTCGGCGATTGTGCACCTGGAGGGAGCGCTCGGAGGAGAATCTCTGGACACACATGGCACATGATACATCGAGACCCGTTGGTATCTCCACTTTCTCGTCATTATCTTGTTTTAATATGTCTGCGTGCTGCTGTGGTGGCTGTAGCTGGTGGAGAAGAGGTGGTTGTGACTGTTGATACGTGGGTACATGTAGACCTGGAACGAAGATCTCCTCGAAGGCGTTCATTCGACCATCCAGGAGTTTCAGATCTTTGGACTCGGGTGTCTCCAGGAGATCGCTGTTGCTGCTGCTGTTGGAGGGTCCTGCCTCTTTGTGAAATGTTGTACTGTGAACACGACGCTCTTTTGGACAATCGAATACCTCTGTACAGAAGGAACACTTGAATATTCGTTTTGTCGGTGTCTTTCTGTCTCGATCTAGAAACAGGGACGACGTGAAGTGCGTCGCTAGAGATCGACTGTCCAGCAGAGGAACTGCTGACTCGTTGTCTGAGCCCTCGGACTCCTCCCAGGATTCTCGTGCCATCAGGTCGTAGGACGTCGACATGCGAGAGGATTCTTGACCCACGTACAGCTGGAATTCATGTGTTTTTTTAAATTATTTATGGCTCTAGATGGTTGATAATGAAAAAAAGAAACAATAGAAAGGATAAAAAAATATAATTCTCACCTGCCAAGCAGAATGCTCAGTGCATCCGTTGCTCTCCTGCTCAGAGAGTTCCCCTCTGGGTGGCATTGTCTCATCAGCCCTCATATTAACACTCTTGACCTCTTCATCAATCATACCTCCACACTCACTGCTTGCCATAGACTGCTGACTAGTGGCACTGATGGCCTTCTGACTGGATTCACTGATAAAAGTACTGGGTACCAGAATCTGCAGCCCATCAAACTCAAAAACGTTCATAGGCCCAGAGTGTGCATCCTCATTAATATTCAGCAACTCAGCAGTTGGAATCTGACCCATGCTCTTAGCCATACATTGAAAGCTCTTAGAGTCAGCGCTGGTGGTGGGATCCATTCCTTCAATCCCAATTGCTTGACCTTGTCCCTTTCCACTGGACATTGAGTAACTCTCACCACAAATCTGATTGGAATTAACAGTAAACGAGCTGATGTGTTCAGTGATAACAGACTGATGACACCCAGTGTCGAATCTTCCCTCGATCTCCCCCTGGGAGCAGTCGAGAGGTATTTTCTGGTGGTCCTCACACTCGTCATCGCTCTCCCCATTGAGTCCCCTGAAAGAGTGCACCGAAGCTAGTGATCCGGGTTTGTTCAGACTCGTTCTGACTTTCACCCCGGAAATTCTACTGATCGTCGACAATGGTGAGGAGCACCTATTCTGCTCATTTCCCTTTCCGAAATTCATACGAGGATTGGTCATCTCCTCAAGCTCCATGTCCTCCTCGTCAAAATTATCTGGCACATTTTTCTCCTCCTGATTGTCCTCGAGGTCCTCCTGGAGAGCCGACGCCTCAAAACCCACTGGATAAACACTGAGATTCTCAATTGACCCGCACTCGGACCTGGCGAAGGCCCCCCTCGCTTTCTTAACGAGATTCGGTGAAGCCGGAGCACTAAAACTACTCCTGTACCTGTACGGCGCCTCCAGGCGCTTGTAATCAATCTCCAAAGAGCTCCTACCCTGTTCAATCGTGAGCACCTGAATCGCACTGATATCAGCAGTCTGTGCCTGCAGCCTGGACACCTCACATCTCTCATTATCCTCCATCATATTAAGGATAAAACGCTCCAGATGCTCGGCCTCCCCATTTCTCATCTCCCCACGCCTATCCTTCTCACCCAAAACCTCACGACGATTTTCCTGACCGTCCTGCCCCTCACTCACCTCACTCAAATCATTCAAATCATTCAAATCATTCAAATCATTCACCTCGTCCTCCTGCCCCTCATTCACCTGGTGCCTCTCCTCCACCTGACTCGCCTCCCTGTCTTTCTCACTCTGCCTGTCCTTCTGCCCCTGAAAATTGGTGAACCGCTGGAGTATATGCTCATCCCTGGGCTCCACGATTTCAGGAACAATGCTCTCTCCCTCCTCCTCCTCGTCCTTGGGTCCCTCAGGCTCAGGCTCAGGCTCAACCCTCCTGGGTATAGTCTGCTGCCCCCTGTCCTCCATCTGCCTCTGCAGCCTGGCCCCCACGTCCTCAGAGCCGTCAGGTGGCTCAATATCCGGCAAAATTCTCTCATTCTCCTCAATAATCTCTGGTATATCCTTTCCCTGTCCTGAAAGGACAATACTCCTGGTATTAGTCTCAGCCACAGTGACAACCGGTCGCATCCTGGTGGTTGGAATTGTTGCAACTGGTGATAGCATCTGCACGGTGGGTACCTGTTGCTGCTGGTACATGCTGTACGGATTGTACAGCATCTGCATCATCTGATTGGCCTGAGGTGGTGGTGGTATCGAGTACTGGGGTATCATCATTGTTCCATTATTGACGAACTGCTGATAACTGAAGGAGGCGAATTGAGGTGGCATCATGGCATTCATTGGGGGATACTCGAATACTGGACCTATGGGGTAGGAACCCTGAGGTAAGTGAGACTGAGTCTGGGGTTGGGCTGGCCCCTGGGCACCCTGGGCTTGGGGCAAAGAGGGTGGTAAACTCGGGGGGAGGGACGGCGAGCCGCTGCTCGCTTTTATCAGGGCCTCGATCACCTGCTCCTTTGGATGTGTGTCCAGGTGACGTTGGAGGGATATGCCCTCCCTCAGGTACAGGGTGCACACTGGGCAGGCCACTGCACCGCCAGTGTCTGATGTCAGGTTTAAATCCATTATGTTTGTGATTATTGGAAACTCTGGATCAATCTCTCGATTGTCAAACTGGATATCACTCTCGGTGGATATCGATCTGATTTAGATAATTCAACCCTTGAGTGTCATTATTTTTTTAAAGGGGGGGATTCGAGGTCGGGAGTATGTGATGGTAAATCGATCGTCGTGATGTCTTCGTGTTTTGTATTTATTCCTGGGGATTTAAGGGCCCCTATCAGGCCTTTACACACGGCTTAACACGTACGTGATACAGCCGTGATACGTTTGTGGGTGCCCCAAAAATATCGACGTCCATGGCCGCTGCGATGGCCTCGTCTCTCTCTTTCCAGCTTCTTTATTACTCTGGATGTATTTGCTCGGGATATCGTTGCACGTGATGGAATCGATGCAGGGCTTTTCTCAGGGGCTTCTCCGGGGTTAAGGATTCATCCGGTGAGTTCTCTGAACTTGTGAATTTTTTTGACGGATTCACACACATGGAGTCACATCACGTGAACAGGATTTAAAGATACAAAGGTCGCAGGATTTCAAAGAAAAATCATCAACTCCTGGAGATTATTGGAGGTGTTTTTTTTTGGGAGCTGGGTGGGATTTTTTCCGGCTGTCCTGGAGGATTTTTTTTTTTTTTTCAATCGAGAGCCTCGAGTGTGAAGCGGCGCGCTAGGGGGGCAACACAGAAATCGATATCCTGGTAAATCTGCCTCCCCTGTACTCTAAAACGTCGTCAGCCTGTGGCTCGTTTTCTCCAAGCAACTTGTCAGTTTTTTTTATTCAATTATTACCTGCGTACACGTCTTGCCAACACAACCGAACACTTACACCAGGAGAATCCGATGCCTGTCAATGGGGCGAGCTTCCCATCGCAGAGGGGAGGGGATGTTTAATGTTTTTTTTTTGTGGGGGTTACTCGGCACTCGGGGGTGGTTGCACTGATTTTTTTTTCTCCTGTAATTAATTGCTCTGGTTTTGGGATCGTTTATTGTTCGTAATCACTCACTTCACTCATTTACGATGGAGCAGAACAGAACACTGGGGACTCTGGCGTCAATCCGAGAACTCTTTCTGAGGTTTTTTTTTTTTTTTCGGTTTTTAGGGCTCAGACCTTTCGGGGAAAATTTTTCGGGCTCCTGGGGACGGATTTGTCGGGGGGTTTTTCAGTTCCAGGGGGCTGGGACTGATTGGGAGATGTGGGTGCACATTGTTCGGGGTTTTTTCGACACTTTTGAGAGCACTGGCCCCGAAATAACACAACAGATAACGAGAGACCCGAGGGGAGCCAGCGATTGCAGCCAGCTGGGAAGTAGAGCGTTCCCCAGGCGACTGCAGCGACACTTTCGTAGGAATTATTATTTCAGCGGAAAGGGGGGAGGTTGTTTAAAGGGATTTAATTGTTCACCTGAAGACTGACTATTGCAGTAAAATTTATTCCACTTTTCATTCATCATTTGTCCCGATATTTTGTCTTCGTTCTGCATCACGAAGAATTAACAGAATCTATTGAAATATTAAAATTTTTTACTGAACTCAATCCCTGAATATTTTAAGATCAGGCTGGAATTTTTTTTTTCAGACAGAGAGGAAAAATGGTTTGAATAATTCGGCGGGTTTTTTTTTCGTGGCGAATTGAATTTTTGTGGTGGAGGGATAATTTTTTTCTAGATATTGATGGAATTGGGTAATTATTTGAGTGAAAATTTCAGGAGTGTCTCAGTTGAAATGAAGACTGGAGGGAATGAGTGCAATTCCGAGAATTACCGGAGTTACTCGGAAATTGACGAAAGTACACTTCGGTGATGCACTCGTTTCCATTCGGAATTATTCCCCCGAGTGTCTCCCCTTCAGGTCCCACGTATTATAACCTTGTTACCCCCCACAGTTTTGGTGTCAACTTTGGCCGAGTAATTTCCATTGATTTCCTTTATTTTATTCGTTTATTTTCCTGTGTATCAGTCATGGCGAAGAATCAAGGAACGAGCTGGACAGGTAAAACATTTTATGCACTCGTCATCTCGTTCTCCCTCGTCATGAGTAATTGAAATAAATCCAGGTGTTTTAATGAATTTGTTTATGTGTTATCATTTTTAGAGGCGAGGGACCAATTGAGGACCTGGAGGGAGAATTCTGATCGGAAGAGTCGGGAAATCGTCGGTCTCTGGGACTCACTCCTTGTCAATAAAGTGGAGAATCTTGGAAACGAGAGTAATTAATTAATCTTATTTATCTGTTCTGCTCGGGACTGGGTCAATCGTGTTGTATATTTCTACGTGGATATTTCCCCTTATCAGCATAACATACATACCCAGAATGTGCAGGAAAAATATTAAATACCTGCAGTTAATTTAAAATGTCGATTACGAAGGCACTGGGTAATTAATAATAATATAATTTCTGCAGAGTACTTAGTCCTGGAACAAGTATGCGTTGCTGCACTGGACTGCTATCGTCTCCCTCTGGCCGAATATTGCATAAAAATACTGATGAGGGATTTTCCTGGGAGTCTCAGGGTGCATAAATATCATGTGATGCATCTGGAAGCCTTGGAAATGTGAGGACAATTTTCAAAAGTTTCAATCCCCTCCATTTTCCCATTTTTATGGCCTTTTCATATTTTTTTTCAGGTACCCAGAGGCCCTGGAGGTCCTGGACTCGATCATCAGGCGAGACGAGACCAACGCAGCCCCAAGGAAGAGAGTTGTTGCGATTTTGAGGGCGAGAGGGATATATACTGAAGCTATCCGGGAACTCACTGATTATCTCAAGATCTTTATGAGTGATCAGGAAGCCTGGCACGAGCTCTGTGATCTCTACCTGCAGGAGCAGGAGTATTCCAAGGCTGCTTTCTGCATGGAGGAGTTGATCCTCCACAATCCCCACAGCCACTTGATCTTTCAGAGATACGCTGAGATCAAGTATTCGCAGGGGGGAGCCGATAACATTGAAGTCGCTAAATCGTACTTCGCTCAGGCTGCCAAGCTCAATCCCAATAATATACGTGCACTCTATGGATTATTATTGACTGCCAACAACATCGCCTCATCTTCCAAGTGGCCGTCCTCGAAGAGACGAAATGCTACAAAAACGATTGAATGGGCATCAGGACAGATCAAGAAGCAGTACAAAGCCAAATCCGATGAGAATACTATAAAAAATGTCGTTGGTCTGCTGAATCAACTGCAGATCGATGCCTGAGATCACACTCGAGTTTAGCCTGAATTTGTATCTTTTTAAAAATCCAAACGATAAATCCATCAATACTTATTGACTTGTATATTTGTTTCAATAATTGTAATATATGTGTAAATGCCATATTCATGTGCATCACAAATAATGCACAATTATTATGAAAAATATCGAAATGAGGGATAGCAAATCTTTTTTTTGAATAACTTATCAATTTGTGGAGACACTCGGTTGTCACATTCCTAATCAATTAATTATCACGATACTTTAATAGAATAAAAAACAATCGAATTCACTATAGAAATATTCACGATTATTTATTGAAATGCGTTGATTATATTTCTAAGACAATTCATTGATTTAAAATGGAGGATAATGTTGACTGTGTGACTTTGTGAGAAGTCGAGAAATCGTTGTAACTCACCCTAAGATAAGTAACAGAATGCAATTGAAGTGAATAACATAAATAAATGTTTGTTATTATCATGGGAACAGTTGGAGTCATCTCTCTGTGCTTTCACGACACCTTCTCTCCCACTCTGCTTTATTCTGGGCCCTTTCTGCTGCCCTTTTCATCCGCTTCTCCTTCCTGGACTCGTCTCTGAGGGCAAAGTACATCTCCCTGAAGTCCAGGATGTTCATTGTGCTGATTACGTCACTTTCATGGGGCTCACGGAGTTTTGTGTAAGTTAATAATCTTCTTGAGGCGTGATTGCTCAGTACCTGCTCGGAATTCGCTGTCATTTTTAGGCAGGGGTGCCTGGGCAGCTGATCTTCAGAGTAATGTTCCCTTGAAATATTATTTCATTAATCAAATCATAAATACATCAAATGAATTTATTCTCACATTAAAATTACCTGTACACAGGAAACCAACAGACTAATTTTCCATTGATCTCTAGATGTCTAGCTGCAAATTTCATAATGTCTTTGTACATGTGAGGTAGATTGTAATCGATTTTCGATGGAATGTGAGCTGCTGCCTGGGTCTCGTCGATCGTGGGATTCGGCTTGGACGTTCCAATTCGTTCAGTGGCTTCCCTAACACCATAAGGTGCTGCAAAATATTAATAATTATACACGAATAATAAAAAATATAATTTAAAAAAACAGTTCTTGAAATTTCCTGATGAAAATGATGAATCAAAAATTAATTAATACGTACGATCTGTAATAATCGCGTTGACTCGCATATCCGACCTCCAAAGGAGCTGAGAAAAATCGGAGACAATGACGTCAAGATAATATTCTCCTTTCCCATACTGTTTTACGTTGGCAGCCACACTTTCATCGCTGCTTCTCTTCTATTTGTTTGAGGCAGAATTTAATTAATTTTCAATGCGAACAATTCTAGCAATTGCACTAATGAGGAGTTGATTATTGTAAATACTTTCTGAGTTATCCTGGTGGGCCTCGTTCGTGCATGGAGCATCATGAAGTCGATGTCCGTCCCCAGGATGTACCCGTCAAACAATGCTGCAGCCACCAGCAATGATCCAGTCCCCACGAATGGATCCATTACGATATCACCACGTTTTACTTGAGCCTGATTAGCCATCAGAAGTGACAGCTGAGGGTCCATTGACGTCGTCCCAATGAATTTTCTCGTTTTCAGGGATAATTTTTGGATCAACTCCCTCTGCCCTGTTGCCACCTAAAATTTATTCAATGCATCCGATTTAAAGGATATATTTAGTATTTAAATATGGAATGGAAGATTAATTTAAAATTGATAAATTGATATTGAAAGTATTATTTTCAAGATTTATCAGGAATGAATGAAATTTACCAGCCTCCCAAAGAACAACTCCTCAGGATTCTCAGTATTAATGTCAGGCTTCATCCCATAGTACTCCATGTAATAGAAACTAACGTCGGGATTATTCAGTCTGACTTGTCCTTCGATTTGAAGATAATTGAATGACTGAAATTGAAATGGCATTGATTTTTCAATAAATAATTAATATAACTGCATCTTTCGTTTTCTACCATTTTTTTCTCGTTATCGTCACCTCAATTTTTTCAATCTTCTCACTCTGGCTGATGTGTTTACAGAAAGTCTCGACGACGATCCTGAAGGTTTTATCTTGTCTGGCATATTTACTCCACCTTTCCCTGGGAATTTGTCTCAATGCAGAATGAACAGAACTGAAATCCCTTTCCCTGACATATAATTCTATACAATAACGCAGAGAGACTGATCGACTTGCTATAGTCTGGATTGTCGCTTCCTCTGAACATTCGACGATCCAATAGGGCTATAATAAAAAAAAGACTAATAAATTATGAATCCTATAAAAATAATTTCAACATTTCAATCCACACTGCAGCTTACTTTGTCGTTAGACCTCTGAATCGTCTTAAAATGTTCCTGAGAAATCCCAAATAAATTCAGAATCGAGTCGATCTCCTGTATATTTTGAACAATTAGTTAATTAAAAATGCGATGATTATGAAAGCCAAATAATTATTAAAACAATTATCTCCACACTTACGGCACCTCGAAAATCCACGTGTTCGTGAGCGAACCACAATAAATACATCCTTATTGGATCAGTCATGACTTCACTCTTAATTAATTAGAACTAATTAAATAAATGAGGATAATTAAAGGGACAATCTGTTTGTCATTTGCACGTGGGCCTCTGGAAGCTACGAGTGTGCAAGAGGGGGAGTTGTTCGTACCCTGCAGTTGTAAATCCCTCGAAGATATACGTGGTGGGTAAAAATATATTATTTCACACGTTTTCCACGAAACATACCTGCACCGAATAATTCTCTACACAACGTATGGTCGATCAAATAGAGTCCTTACAGAGAAAATGCAACTGAAAAAATGGTGGATAAAAATAATGGATCATATCGACTGAACCGAATGAACATATGATTGCGGAATTATTGTTGACATAACCAATATCCCTTTGAACTTGATCTATTTTTCGCGATATAAGTGACGTATAGACCCGAATTTAACTGTGACTTATTCCTGATTACGTGGTTAATCCTCGAAAAAAGGTTAGAAGAACGAAAAAATTGTTTTCGAGTGAAATTCACTGGGAAACTTTAACATCTCACGATTGTTTTTTTGTTGATTCAATTTGTTTTCATGTTTTTTTTTTAAAGAGCAATGGGGTCAAGACGATAGTTGGTACATTAATTACATGAATTATTGATTATAAATCATTGATTGCAATGGAAAAAATTGAGGGAAAAGACGGAAGTTTCGATATTGTTGACAATGTTGTCACAGTGTTGGAGAAAGACTCCAGAGGTTTCCAGATGTTCACGTATGGAATCACTGGAATTGGGCTCATGACAGCTTTATACAGGATAAGACCTGTGAGTACATTAATTTTAATCAATTCCCTAATAAATTGGGATTGCTCTCCATTTTAGTTCGCAAAGTTCTCAAATCCAATGCGAGTTCCAGCCCAGTTCATAAAAAAACAAACAGTCCTTCGTGGAACGGCAGCACGAATAGAGCCTGGTACTGCATCTGTGATTTTAGTGGACCACACACCATTGGTTCCTCTCCCACGATTCGGAAAATCTAAATATTTGCCAGTTAAAATTGCTGGGGTGGATATTAATGGCCATGGTGAATGAATTGTGAATTTTCACAGGTTGAAATTGAATTAAAATCAACAACTGGAATTCATTTCCTCGTTTTAATTTCAGGAATCAGCTGGCTGTCAACAATTGTCCAGGGTAACACCATAGAGTTCATCCCAATTCGAAAAACGAAAGATTTCTTAGACTGCACGGTAAAAATGTCTCAAAAAGACCAGGTGAAGCCTTTCATTAAGAATAATTCTATTTAAAAAATAAATAGGTGCAGCTGTTGTTCCTGATAAAATAATTTTTCCACGTGAATTTTCTCGAAATAATTTCAGTGAATGAAAATATTTCAGGAACCCCTGGACGTTGGAAAAGAGCTGGTGAAGCTGGGCTTCGGTACAGTGGGACAACTGCCCTCAATTCCTGAGGACAAACTCCTAGAGTCTTACAAAAAAACCTTAGAGTCGGCCCAAAACTGGGCAAAGTCAAAACGCAACGGCCAGTGGCACTTCCTCATCCCTCCAACCTTCACCTGGCGCCTGAGAAATCTCCTGGAGTCCAAACTTCATCCACGAACTTGACGGGCACCGATTTCCCGACAGATCCTCGATTACTTAATACTTAAAAAGAGTCTTGTTACTTTTATGGGTTTCCTAGCATTAACGATGCATAGAGCCTTCAATTTATTCGACAATACCGTTCGCCAGGTGCGAATCGCTCTCATTAAGTTGAGTTTGATGTACTATATTCTTAGAAATACTGAGCAACGCAGATATTTTCGTAAACCATTGAGAAAAAATTGAATAAATTAATCTTATTACCATTAATTCAGTATTGTTTAACATTATGTCTGATTCCTCCCTATCGAAATTATCATTTTTTATTCTATTTGAAAGTTTGAGATTGGAAAAATAATTGATTACATCAATTCAAAATTAATACACCGACTTGGGATTCTCTTTGAGAAACCCATTATAACTCTCCACAAGTGAAAAAGCTTTTTCCCTCAGAGGTGCATAATTCATTCTGTTCTTTCCCTCATTAATAAACCTCTCTACGTCATCATTTCCCCCCTTCAACTTTTCGTACTTCTCCTCGAGAGCACTAATTTGCACATAAATCTCATTCTTATCCAACTCCTGCTTGAGACTCTGGTGCTCCCTCCTGACAGAATTCAATTCCCTCTCCAAAATCGGCAGTCGCCCCTTCAATTCCTCTTTCCTGCTCGTCAATTCCTCGTACTGCTCCTGAGACCGCATTTTAAGTCCCTCCAAATCCTCGAGAACCACGAGCTCACTCTCCCTCGTTCGAATTTTCTCGAACAACTCCTCTAATTCAGCTTTCATTTTTTTCTCCAGGCCCTCCATCTTCCTGAAAGCCTGTTGGAGCTTGGCGTGCTCTTGGCAGAGATCGAGAAAGCTCTGGTGGTTATTTTCCTCATTGGAGTAAACATCGAGAAGGGCAATTTCATCAATTCCAAATACTCCAGACTCATTGTCAATGGCAAATGCAAGTCTCTTCAATTTTTCCACAATACTCTCCTCACAACTCCTTATCTTATCCGTCTCCTCAGCTTTATTCTGATCGAATGTCGGCATAAATTGCTCGATTGCCTCCTCCCTCTTCCTCAATTCATTGTACTTCACCTGCTTCTCCGAGTGATTCTCCTCCATATCCACATCCAACTGCTCCATCTCCATCTCAATCTGATCAATCTGCTTTTTCACATCATCAATCTTTTTCTCAGCAGCAACAATATCCATATTGTCCTGTTTAACTTTAGCCAGAAGCTTCTCGCGCTCCTCCTCAGGTGATAATTTATTTCTCTGCTCCTCCTGGAGTCGATTCCTCTTCTCCTCGACCTCAGAAATCCTCACCCGGAGCTTTACAGCTTCCTGTTTCACCTGGGACAGGGCAATTTCCTCCTCGAGGTTGAGCTTTTCTGTGGAAAGATGATCGATTTCCTTCTGCATTTGAGTTATCTCATCCTCGAGTCCATTCCTCAGGTTTATGAGTTTCTCGTACTTGGAGCGAACCTCTGTGCTCATCCCCTCCACGATTCTCTCCTCTTTTTTTTGCTCCAGGTCGATTTTCTCCTCCATTCGCCTCAGCTGTTGCTCTTTCAGCCTTCGCTGCTCGAAAAGCATTTCGATTTCCTCGGTTGCCTTGTCGTTCAGTCTCTGGAGGTCCAGGGCCTCTTGCTCCGTCGATTCTTTATCAATGTTTGAGGTGACCTTGTCGATTACGATGTTATAATCTGCCAGCTGACCCTGGAGATCTGTTAATTCACTTGCCAGGTGCTTTGCACGATCGTCGTAGTGCAGGAAAGTCGCTCTTTCTTTATTCTGGGTGTCAATTTCTCGGGTTATCGTCGATATCTCCTGGGTGAGCTCTCGGATTTTTATCTGGACTAGACCCTCGTAGTATCTCTTGTCTTGTATCTGCCTGGGGGAAGGGCAGATAAATTTAAATGAAAAACTTGCGAAATCCATTTCAAATTGAAATTTTATTTCAGGTAAATCCCTGAATTTTTTACCTGGTTAATCCACGAGTAGTTCCAGGTCTGATACCTGCTATTCCCTGCTGCGTAACAGGTCTCTCCATCATTCCAGAATTGGCATGAGCAGTCGGTGGAAGTCCAGTATTTATCCTCGTCATTCCCATGGTGTTGAGTCGTCCACCAGCAGTACTGCCTCTTCCAGAGAATACAGAAGCTGATGGGGGTCTCATCGAGTTCCTAGCTGGAGTCACAGCTCTACCTGCACTCGATTCATGAGATGATTCGTTCTGAACTCCTCTTCGAGACACCGGACGTTCCACTCGGGTCTGCGGTCTACCAGTCTGAGGTCTTCCCGTCTGAGGTCTTCCCGGTGGTGGATCATCGTCTTCCTGACGCCAATGGTGCAATGGACGTTCAGACGGGGGACGACCACTCGTCTTCGGACGATTCTCCATTTTTCAGATCTATAAATTCGAAAAGTCCATCGAAAAAAATATTTTATTTTTTATATTTTTCCACACGAATTCCCCTGGAGTTCCACAAATTCGGTTACAATTTTTTTTTCTCATTTATTCTTTAAATAAAATTATAATAAAATGGGAAAAAAGAAATTCGAAATAAATTCAACACTAGAATTTCTTCCATTGAATATTCCCGCACGTGAAATCCATAAAATGACATAAATAATAATTATTATCATTATTCAACGAGATTAATTTGTTGATTTGTATTTATCGCAATGTCTCTGAAAAAACACAAGATTTTTTAATTGAATATTTTCATACGTTATTGTCCCAGAATTCCGACGATTCAGAGTATTTCACTCGCGAACAATTTTCTTCGCCATGAAAATAAATTTATCGAAGGCGAGAAATTGTTTATGATTTATCACCATGGAAACGAATAAAATATAGGGTTTCAGGGTGGGACCGCAGTTCCCGTGAGCGATAGAGTAGTTTATGAATGGAATTCGGTTGCTTGGATACGAAAATTACAACAAATGGGCGAAGTAATCACAACCACCTGCCATTTCCCATTTTTTCTTCAATTTATTTCCCTTCGAGTGTCACATTGTTAACTTAAAGATCTCATTGAGCCCCAGTTTTAGTTATTATTGTGTAATTAAACGCGGGAGTTGTTTTTTTTTTCAAATAATTTTTAATTGGTGATAAATCATGATACGACAGGGTGGAATTGATGAAGATTTGTATGGGGGGTACAATGATTACCCCTCGATATATAATACCAAGGATCTGGGGGATGACGCTGTGTTTCAAGAGGCTGTGCAGATGAGTAATTACAGGAGGAACATTGTAAGTTCATTGGGTGCGCCGTTCTATAATTAATAAAAATACCACTGTCAAAAATATGAATTTATAATAAAGATATTAAATAGTATACTACAATTTTTTTCTGATTGCAATTATGAGTAATTAGTCAATTGTTTTCCGTGGAAGATGACCCCGAAGGTGCCTGGAACAGCGATGAGACTGGGAACTTCTTCAGGGGTGAGATGAAGAAATTATTTATTGAATTTTTTACCTGTTATCACTGGAAGTTATTAAAAAATATTATAGACGCGATAATAAAAGTCTTAAACGGGGAAAAAATCCAGAAAGTAAAGTCTCTTCATTTACAATTTTTGATTGAGAGAATGGATTTTTTCCAGGACTCGAATTATCGCCCTGATTTTGTAATTTCAATGATTTTTCCCATGAAATTCTGTGAAGTTCCATCGGACAGGAGGTGGTGTGATGACCCGTCCACCGACAGGTCCTCGTCCGATGACAGCAGTACGAGGTGCAGGCTACACGAGCTCTCGTCAAGTGACATTCGACCCCCTGAACATGAGTAGCACCTCAAGGGGTCCAGCACCACCCCTGGAGTCGGGTAAAGAGGACAGCCCCGAGGAGAAGATAAAAATAGCCGAGAGAAAGATAATGGATCTGATAGAGAGTTCAGCAGAAGCTGCAGTTGATGACAACATGCGGGTCGCCTTGGAGAGAGCCAGGGAAGCTTCATCCAGGGAAAGAGTCCTGATTCGCCTTCAGGAACAGGCAGGCCTCAGTGAGAGTCACAATGTCGACCTTACTCTAGCCGTTTTATTCAATCTGGCAACGCAATACACGAATAATGAGATGTACACTGAGGCAATTGCAACGTACCAAGCAATAACGAGAAACAGAATGTTCAGTAATAGTGCACGCCTCAAAGTTAATGTTGGGAATATTTATGTGAAGATTGGACAGCTGTCGCAGGCGATTAAAATGTACAGGATGGCATTTGATCAGGCACCAGCTGCCCAGAAAGACCTCAGGATCAAGATCACTCACAATATTGGAATGGTTCTGGTGCGAATGGGGAGATTGGAAGAAGCTGTTAATAGTTTTGAGTGGGTGATGAAGGAGAGATCGGAATTTCAAGCCGGATTTCACGCTATCCTCTGTCATTTTGCACTAGGTCATCGGGATAAAATGAAAAGGGGATTTCTCGAACTCGTGGAGGTCCAGCTGAATGTTGATCAGGAGGAGAAATATTCAATCGCAACTGTAAGAATTTCTTGATACTCCTGTTAACAAAAAAATCAATATGCGATGCGAATTCATTTACGAATTAATGAATTACTTCATTAGGATGATATTGCGGCGAATATTTTAAATGAAGTCATAAAAAATGATGAGCTCTCGAAATTGGAGACTGCAATGCAATCGGAGGCTGAAAAAACAATTCTAACTGCTGCCAAACTCATTGCTCCTGTTATCGAGGACACATTAACTACCGGATTTGCATGGTAATTACAATCTAATTAAAATTCTGACTCGCGTCGGGGTATTACTGATCTAATGTACTGCCTCAGGTGTGTAGATGCTATTAAATCATCTGCCTACAATTCTCTAGCTGCAGATCTCGAGATAAACAAGGCAATGGTATTTCTTCATAATCGAGAAATTGGATTTGCTATCGATACATTGAAAATGTTCGAGAACCGCGACTCAAAGGCCAACAGCTCGGCTTCAACGATGTTGTCTTTTATTCATTTTTTGGTGAGGAATTTTGAAAATTGATTTTTAATTGAATTTTAATAAATAATTTTCTCTTTGAGCAAGGAGATTATGATCAAGCCGAGAAGTACGCAGAGTCTGTGAGAAAAGTCGACAGTTACAATGCAGCAGCTTACGTTAACTTATCAGCAGTCGCAATCAAGAGGAATGAATTGGATAGGGCGAGGGAATTATTACTCTGTGCCCTTGACAATGATGCAAGTCATGTACAGGCTCTCTACAATTTAGGTAATTGAATGGATTAATTCAATTGCAATGTGATTTATTCGAAAAACAAATAAATATTGTTGTAAAAATCCAATTGTCTGCTTTTGGTGTTTGTTTTCTTGCTGTAATAATTAATGAGACAAATCTTTTTTCGATTATTCCTCAGGATTAGTTTACAAAAGGCAGGGATGGTACGAAGAAGCTCTCGAATGCTTTGGGAAACTACGAAATATCGTGCGATATGACCCACAAACTGTCTATCAAATCGGTCATTCGTATCAGCTCCTGAAAGACATGGATCAGGCGGCGGAATGGTACTATCAAATTTTCAGATCTCGAGAGATTAAATAGCCAACGATATTTCAGTAGTGAAGTGCGAGATAAGTTTAATGAACCACAAAAAAAGTTCTCCACTAGATAATGAAGAAATTTTGAATTTCGATTTGACAAATTACTCATTTATTCGAATTGTCAATTTTTTTCCGGCAATAGGTACAATCAATTGTTGACTATCATGCCTTCTGATCCTGGAGTGCTCCAGAAGCTGGGAGAAATGTACGATAACCTTGGTGATAGGCAGTTGGCATTTCAGCACTATCATGATGTGAGAATAAAATAAAATAAAATCGTGGAATAAAAAATTGAGAGTCATGAAATAATAATTAATCATTCATTTATTATTAATTATACAATCAGTTCAGGTGTATTAAATTAATAATGATCATTGAATCTTTCTCTTCAGTCGCACAGATTTTATCCAGCCAACTTCGAAGTGATTGACTGGCTAGGGTCTTATTACATCGGAATGCAAGTAAGTCCTCCAATTTCCTCAGTTGCATTTTGTTTATCCTATTCAGATGAAAAAATCGGGTTATTAAATTTCTCGTCCTCTGGAAGGTGGCGGAGAAGGCTCTCCCTTATTTTGAGAGAGCAGTGGAACTGGCACCAGAGGAGCCTCGTTGGCGACTCCTGGTTGCAACGTGTCTCAGGAGAAAAGGAGAATTTCACAAAGCCCTTGAAGAATACCAATCCATCCACCGCAAATTTCCAGATAACATCGAGTGCCTCAAGTTCTTAATTCGATTATGCAGTGATTTGGGGATGAAAGAAGCTCAAGTATATGCTTCAGAGTTGAAGAAAGCGGAGAGGGCGAAGGAGTTGAAGGAGAGACAGGGTTCAGCCAGACCTGGAACTACTGGAAGTGGTGAGTTTATTATTTTATTAATTCATTTATTTGATTCTGTTGCGATCACGTAAATTGAATGGATTATTCTTTGATTTGATTTGAAATCAGGTTCAAGAAGAAGCAACAGTGGTAACTCATCCCGAGGTGGTTCAGGCATGAGTATCCAGTCAGATAATCGCTCGAGTCCAATTGCAATTCGCAGAGAACTCCGCTCATCTCTCAGTGGTGGACCATCACGATTCAATCGTCTCAGCATTCTGGATGACTCTGAAAATGACACACCAGAATCTCAACCTGGTAAATCCCCAGAATCCGTAAAATCATCCACATAATTTAATCCCGAAATAAACTACTCCGAAGTCGACAGTTCATGCTCTTTTCGCCCTTGACAGCAAAAATGATTGGATCAATTCGCATTATCCCAGTGGTGGCATGTCGTAATGAACTATTACGTATCTCGCATAGGGCGCATGTAACATTGAGGATTAATTTTCTGACTTGCGTTGAAAAAACTTTAGTAACTGGAGAAATTGTCGTTTTTAATGCAACGTATCGCTGACTTTTGGTTTTATTCAGTTATTACAGTTATTGTGATATAATTTTTTGTTGTTGGACGAGGTGATTTATCTAGGGAGTAGTGGATGCTTTCTATTGTGCGTAGTTGAGAATAGTCAGTGTGATGTAGCACGTATTCCGTTAATGGATTGAATGAGATGATTAATGGTATCAACTGATTTGCACCGTAAATTAATCGTTGAAGTGAGGATTTATCATGTGGCATTATTTTTCAGATGTGCACTTCAATGATCCTATTGGACCATTACCAGCAAGACCAATGACAGCAGCGGGAAAAAGAGACGATGACTTCGGTGATGAGGAACTTGGCGATGACCTTTTGCCGGTGTGAACTCCATTCCCTCTTCAGCTTGACCTCCAACACTTGGTCGACACTTTAGCATGATAATCTTGTCGCGGTTCGTCATGATTTTCTAATGCTAAGAAATCACTGGCGCGAATAATATTAAGATCATGTTTACGAATTTTTGAATAATAAATGACTCTCCGTCAGAAAAATTTTAAACTTTTCTGAAGTTTTATTTATGGAAAAATCATCTTGTCGTGGACGGAAGTGCGATATTCATACGAGGAGAAGAGAAACAGGTTTCAATAATTCATTCTGCAAACGAGTTTTCATGCGGTCGCAGGAGCTCTTGAAATTGCCACCGATATACATTTTAATCATGAAAATTGCAACTCCGACAATCGCAGTTGCATTATTACTTCATTAATCAATTCTCAGTATTTGATTCCATCTTCACTCGCGGAAAGAGGAAAACACTGGTCATAAACAATTGCGTAATGCGCGCACTCTAAAACATTGGGTGAAGATTGAAGAAAAAGAGAAAAATGAGGCTCGTGTTACGAATTCATCATTCTGATTATTTATGTCTACTGACAGTGATTTTTTTTATACACTCAATTCAGAAATTACACGTTCACGACTTTATTCTCTGATTTTTCAATTTTCAAAATTTTTATTCGTATTATAATAATATTTATTCATACACCCGTTCAGAGATTTTTTTTTTCTGGTAGTAGTTTCGATAATTCATGAATGAATTCTATCAGGATTAAACAAACAAAACAATTTGTTATTTTAATCAATTCAGAATGTTGCGGGCTTGAAATAAAATGATATAATTTGCTTGGAATAAAAAAAAATGTGAGGCATGATTTCATTGGCTGAAAATGATATCACCACCATCGACTCCTCTCATTACGCTCCGTACGAAATAAAGTGTACGTCAAATGTGAGATAAAAAGAAAACCTCGGTGATACGCGAATGGGTGGGGGATTGGCCTAGAGGCACGGCACTCGCGGTCAGTCTTCTGACAACGATGAACATTCGGTGATACCGCAGTCATACGAGCAGTTACGTCGAAAAATTCAACGGATACCGCGGATATCGCGATACGTCAAGAGTTCAACCTCCCACCCACCCCCTCCCATCAATTAGGGGCACGTGGAGAAAACATTGAAGCAATTATTCTTCACATTTTTACGTCGACAACAACGATTTTCTTCAGGTGAGTACGTCCTAGCGTTAATTACCAGATTAAAATGTTAATTGACTCATTAAAAATTTTATCATTCGATTAAAAACCCTAATTACGATTTCCAATTTGTCATTGTCTAGTTCCGACACCGGAATTTGGGCATTTCAAATCGGTATTATTATCGCTATTTTAATGTTTCTATTTATTATATCGATATTTTTAAGATTTCTTTCTGGAAAATTGTTTTGTAGTAAAAAATGCGACGAGTGTAGTCTACTTTGTAATATTATTATGGATTTGTTATTGCGTTATTGAACAAATTGATGTTCTTACTATTTATTCATTTTTGTGGAATTTACACTGAGAAAAATGATAATCTGTAGAGTGAAGTGGTGAAAGGAGATTTTTTGATTCTCCGGTGGGTTTTTTGGAAATATTTCTGAATCTATTGGGTGCAGTGGATTTTTTGTTATAACATTTTCGATAGTTCTTATCTAGCGGGACAAAAGAGGTTTTAATAATAATTTCGTTATCTCCACTACATTCGGAGAAATTCCTGAAAAAGGAAAGACGTAAGTTGGATTTCGTTTTACCTCATTACTACATAATTGCAGTATTATCATTAATTAACGTCGTTATGATTTATTTAGTGGATCTTTGGAGGGGAATTTATATAATCAAGGGTAAATTTGATTTTCATCTCTGAAACATTATCTTGTTTGATTCCATCCACGTGTTGCTCACTTCCGGTTCAACCGGTGACTCCAATAATTCTTCATATTAAATTGAAGGGTTTTTCATAATCTAGTATTTCCCCTGAATATTCAATTGGCTTTGGCCACCGCTGGAATTTCTCAATGGACTTCCTTATTATTAATGATTTATTTTCTTATGAAGTATGCACTTTCTTTGGAGGACAAGTGATTGTATTACGGATTGTAGCGGCAAAAAAAAAATGAGGGAAAAACATTGACGGAATGTTCAACAGAAATTGAGCTGAACATTGAAGCGTTTTATACCAGTTTTTCAATGGTGAGGAGGCGAATTGTTTGAACTCAATCTGCAATTCATAGATTCCACTTCTAGACCGTTTTTTTATTCCCGGAATTTTGAAAATCGTCCGATTTTTCGGTGAATATCAATGGCAATGACTAAAATTCAGAATTCACAGAAATAACTGCTGAACCATCACTATTAGATAATGACCTCAAAAATAAATTAACAAGTGCTTAAAGACAGTGGAAAACTCGTTATTGAAATTTCTTTCAATGTCGATTGATTTTGTTGACTCAATCTAAAAATCGATGGAAATGGATAAATGACTCCAGTGGGAAATAAAATCCCGGGAATTTTTGCGGTAATTTCACACAGCTTTACGATTTCGCGTGATATACGTGTGGAATAAAAATAAATTCACGACTCAAATGAACGTTGCATGATCACATTTGACGTTTACACTTTTCAATTGATTTTAATCGACGTTTATTCGATCTCACTGGGGCTCAATAAAGAGCATCTCGAGTAATGTGGGTAATTGTCATTCTCAACTGGATATCGTCTCCCTTTATCTAATATTTCACCCAGGAATGCTGTCTCATTGTGTGAGATTAAGAAATTAATTCCACAAAACTGAGACTTTCTCGGTGAAAAATATGGACAAGGAAGATATAATGAATAGAAACTTATCAGTGAATTTAGAGTCTCGACGGTACGACGCAAGTGGAAAGATTGATAACCAAGTTATTCAATGTCGCATGGAAGTTTTTTTTTTCCGTGTGAAATGGTGAATTATTTAGCGTCATTTTGAAATTATTTATTGAGGATTGGACTTGTGCGAGAAAATGATTCTCGTCGGTTGGATGCAGTGATGTTTTGTGGGAAATCGTTGAATATTCATGGATCTCGGATAGTGACTCGAGGAGATCGATTACCTAATCTCCAGAGTGACGAAGTTGAAGAGAATGTTTTATTTTTTTATTAGGAATCAACCTTCGATTTTTTTATTCAAATTTTTGAGAAGTTTCTCGTTTTTGATTTTGTCCCCCTAAAAATCATGACCTGATTGATGATTGATGATGCACATCAATTAAAAATTTAATCGTTGATAAAAAATTGAATAATAATCGATTTAGAAAAAGGATCGATTAATAAATGATAACAGCGTGAGCGCTATGGCGCATGCGTTCGGTGCATTTTATCCCATCATTAATTTTCTAAATAAAAAATCATGTGGATTTCTCGGTTGAAATATTGATGGAGATAAGATATTTTTTCTTGGGATTCGGGATTTTGATAATCATGATTAATTGGTAGGAATGTCTCGAAACCGGTGTACATCAATGGCTGGCGTCACGAGTGGGAGATTTAATCGAGTGACGAGCCCATGGGAGTGGTAGGGATTTTATTCATAACAGTTTCTCGACATCGTGAATTTCCTTGAGTCTCGAACTCGCTTATCAATAAATTCCAAAAGAATTAAAATTCCCCGTTCCAAAATGAGTGAATTCCCCTCTTGTTCAATTCGCTGATTTCATCGTCGACTGCTTCAATTAATCGATGGGAGAAACTAGACGTGTGTAAACAACTGGAAAGTAGTCCCGAGGGAAATGGAAATGGGATTGTCTGATCTAGTGAGTTTTCCGGAATTTATCGAGGTCCTCAAACAAGAGTGGGCGGGTGTTTTAAAAATGACTCATTATTTTCATATTTCTTGATTTTGAGAGAGAAAATCATGAAATTGCTGTCACTATTATCGGAATGTCTGATAATAGGGCGCGATCGGTCGCAGTTCGGGTGAACTGATAGTGCGTGATACCCTCTGATAACGTTTGATGGATTTGCAAGACAAATTGAAGTGATGGAATGATATTATCGGTTTAACCCATAATTTTTTTCAAATTTTCCTCAACAACACATGTTGTTACAATAATTCCGACAAAACAAAAAAATTAAATTAATTGTTTATCGGGATTACTGCAATAAATACAAATAGTCACCTAAAATGAAATTAATTCCCGAGAACCGCGAAAACCGCGAAAACCGCGAGAATCGCGAGAATCGCGAGAATCGCGAGAATTTTTATTCGATTATTCGAAAAATTGAATACTTTTTTACAGTTTAATTATTAATTTGATTGGTTTTGGCAGGAGATTGAGGGAAATCGAAGAATGATGGTTCCAACAGAGAGAGCCCTCCATGAAGCCATTCAGGTCGCCCCCCTGGATCTCCCAGATGATGTCAAACGGCAAAAGGTAAGAGATGGAAAATTTTCTCGGACACTTTTAAAATACTTGAAAAATCAGAGACTCATCCGTGTCCAATTATCTCGGATGTAATATACAAATAATTGAAGGCACTCATAACGCAATTATTTTTTCCTCCTATTTCCCTCGTTGTCGCAGCGAAATTTGATAAAATAGTCCTGCGACTAGTACCCAGACTATTGTCACCCTTCGATATTGAAAAGACTAATAATAGACCGGTTATGGCCACGGGAATTAACCGTAAGTGTCTAAAGTGATAAAGACGGGATGGCGATGAATGCGCGATTATAACTTTTGTCGGAATGAAAATAGAAAATGTTTTTTTATTTCAATATTCGTCTACTCCCTCTCCCCCTTCCATTCCGTTATTAATTAATTGTTTTAATCAAAACCTTGCGATTGCTCTCGAAAACCCTTTTAATGTATTTTTTTAAATTGCCTGTGCGATTTTGTGGAAAATTTCACTAGAGTTTGATTGCTCTCATTAAAAAAACATTCTGACGTGAGGGGAAAATAAATTCTACGGGAATGTGAGTTATTTCATTATTCTGTTGACAATTCTTAATCTCTGGAGTTACGAGAATTGTTATCACTGAGTGTCAGTCATTTCGGTGACCTGAACTCGTGTATCTCCTCGTTTATCAATGACTCGCGATTCGAAGTTCAGTGGGACGAATGCATAATCATTATTTTTCCTCAAGACTGAAATTATCTCTATAATATATCTCTTCCAATTATTTGACAAGTCAAGAGATTTCAAATAGACGAATTAGAGTGTTCAGTTCAATGTCCAAAAAATTTGATACTGAATTACAACCTAGAGCAGTTTATTCATTTATTTCCTAATTTTCTATTCCATTTTTAATGGATTGAATGGATGGATGGAGTTCATCCATTTTATTTAATTCGCGTATGTTGCAATATTTTTAAAATGGCCTCGATAAATTATTTTTCATTGTGGTTGGAATGGAACTTGTGGTCAGATATCTTCTGACTCCAGCTGATAATTTACGTCTGATGACGTAATTTAATTAGTAAACGAGGGGCTCGTCAACTCGTGAATATTGAAACCACGTGTTTACGACCAGTTAAAAATGCCTCGGACACTTTGCTTTAATTCAGAGAGATTATGGTTGATTTATGATTGTGGGTGTGAGCCTCGTTGACATTGAAGGGCAGTATTTTATTCCAGAGCTCGTTCTCTCCAGCGAGGCAAATGCCATTGGCCATTTTTTTTCCCTTCAGTTGAGATCACATGGGGAATAATTTATATTTCCCTTTTCTATTTCTGAAGGAGGTCAGTTTCAGTTTCACCCTTGTCCCTCAAGGACTCCAAACATTGATACTTTCCAGGAAATTACTGGATAATATTGAATTGTTTATTCATTTTTTCATCAGGTTAAATTGTTTTCAATTTTTTTTTAGATTGAGAATTTGCTGGCGCAGATGAGACTCTCTGGTGCTACAGCGAGAAAAATTCAGGATATATTTTTATCGGAAATGAATAAAGGCATTCATCAGCAGGATTCGTCATTGCAGATGGAGAATACGTATATTCCTGAATTACCTGATGGAACAGGTGATTTGGTTCATCACTTTAATTGAATTTTGAGAGAGAATTAAGACAGTGATGGAATTTTTTTAAGGGAGATTTTTTTCATGAAATTATAATTTTCAGAATGGAGTATACGGAGGAAAAATTGTCAATAGCTCAATTTTTTTTTATTACAGAGGAGGGTTTATTCCTGGCACTCGACCTGGGAGGTACCAATTTTCGCGTCCTCTTATTGGAGTTAGTTAATGGAGTAGTGGTACGAGAGGATGTCAAGAAATATCATATAGGAGCTCATTTGAGGGTGGGGTCTGGAATTCCCCTGTTCGAGTATCTAGCCGAATGCGTCAGCAATTTCGTGATTAGCGAGGGTCTCCAGGACGTCGAGCTTCCTCTAGGTACTCAATCGCGACCTAATCCAATAATCAATTGCAGCATCAAGCCCTCAAACTCCCAGCACGAAAAATCAATTAAAACTGATTATATATTCCCTCCAATCATCTTTTAATGAGATTTATTTAATAATTCCATGCACGTCTATCTAGGTTTCACCTTCTCCTTTCCAATGATCCAGCACTCGTTGGACGTTGGTATTCTCGTAACTTGGACCAAGAGTTTTAATTGTCCCGATGTTGTTGGTAAGGATTGCGTGGCACTTCTGGAGGAAGCGCTGGAACGACGTGGAGACACTAGAGTCAAAGTTGTCGCTGTATTGAACGATACAACAGGCACATTGCTACAAGGAGCAACTCAGGATCCTCACACAGCTATGGGGCTTATCCTAGGGACTGGCAGCAATGCCTGTTATCTAGAGAGAGCTGATAAGGTCGAGCACTGGGAGCCTGAACGACATGGAGAACGCGAGGTGATCATTGATGTCGAGTGGGGGGCATTTGGAGATAATGGAGTCCTAGATTTCATAAAAACCGATTTCGATCGGCAGAATGATGCCAACTCACTGCTCGTCAGCTCATTCACATTCGAAAAATACATCAGTGGAAAATATCTAGGGGAAATTGTCCGGTGTATTCTCATAAAATTGTCAAAAGACGGTTTATTATTCGCACGAGGAACTCCCGAATCTCTTCTCGTCTCCGGATGTTTCCTGACAGATTACATTTCCCTAATTGAACAGTAAATATTCATTCACTACTTTAACTTATTCTTAATTTT